ATCACACTTTGCACTAGCATTCGAGAACCTGGGCAGACCAAAGTTGCTGTTTTAGCTTGAACGTGTTTCTGGTTCAAGAAAAGTTAATCTCGGCACAAATTATTGGATTGAAACGGTCTGGAACATGAAGATTGAGGGGTCTGTAACATCATTTTCTTTGAATTCAGGCATTTTTATGGCATTTGCTCCTAAAGCCTGCCGCAAGCGGGTGGTTGAAGCAGGGCGGCAGCATGCAGTAGTGCTACGGTCTGTACGCACAGAGCTGTCAACAGTGAGTACCGTACCGGCCGCCTCGGCTGCCTCCCTGCCGTGCTTCACGTAGTCGGTGAACGTGTCTGCCAGATCATCCTTGGACATCCTTCGGTACTCATTCCAGTAGTAGCTGAGCTCATTCTCGCCCGTATCAACGACCGCCATTTTCTTCTGCAGGTCTGCGCACGGCCAGGGTTTGGTCAGTCGGGTCGCACGCTGCCAGCACGGCTGTCGCGCGGGGTTCGCAGCGCGCCCTCAGAGTACACGTCAAGCTCGGCCTTCTATTGCACCTATCCAGCAGCGGAGCCTGTATTGCACGGGGCGCACTGCTAAGAAGCAGCTGCCGATGCTGCGGAACGTCCCGGGACGCGCCGGCCGCCTGTTTGCGACACCGCGTGTCCCTACGATAACCTGGCGCAGAGGGCGAGCCGAAGTAGCGCGCTGCCTGACGAGCGGCGCGATTATTATGCCACCTCGGAGCGTCCACAGGCTGTGCAGAACGCTGGCAATGCTGACCTTCTGAATGTATCGAGAAAGAACTGCAATTTGCTGAAACCCTACGTAAGCAATAGTGCATAGGACCAACAGCCGGAAAGCCGGGGGGTGGGGCGGGCACTCGATTACAACATCGCGCGTCATGTCTATAGTAGGCTTACTTGCCGGCGACAAATTCGCTTCCTTTGGTATGATACATCAAATAATAAATAAATGGACAATCTGCACATAGTCGTCACTAAAAAGCTGACTCAGGGCCAGCCCATAAACTCATTTACACTCACCCCAAATGGTCAGTTTGTCTTCCTCCTTACAAGATCCCTTAAATGGGCAAATAGACGTTTCAACGTACTTCTTAAGAAGTTCCGTGGTCGACTTGAGGAGCTGGAAACACGTGCAGGTTTTACAAACAGCTCATAACCAGCCGGGATCAAGTTCCATCAGGGCAGGTACGCTTTTTAGGCAACGTTCCATGTGTGAAGATATTGGATATGTGGTGAAATATATGATGAAATAAGGTCACTTATAACCTTGGTACACTTTTAACTGGAGGAGACTACTCTAGACGACACAATTTCTCTGTTTCGTAAACGTGCTCCTCAATGCGCCATGGTGTGATTACGTCATCGTTTGTTGCACAGCATTGATCGAGAGCCAACTGACGGCCGTTTTGTGTTGAAATCGAGCTCACGAATGTCAGATATGTACGACTCAATCACTGTATATTTGTTTGTCTTGATCGCCGCGCAGCCAATGGAATGACAAGATTTCAATGACGTTATTATGGCGTCATGCATGCTTGCGTGATCTGGAAACAGTCGGCACATCTTCGCGGGCGTTTAGCTCAGGAACTAGAGAGGTTCAGGTCTTAAGAAAAACAGGGCTGTGAACTACACCGAGTGATCCTCAAGATTGTTATTTCATTTCAAAACCCAAGTATGCGTTCGTCTTGCAATGCGTTAACATGCACCCGGGTGGCCGTTGAATACCTTTCGCTTGGGTTAGGCTCAATTTGACCGCTAAGATCTCAGAAACTAAGAAAGCTAGAAATACCAAATTCAGAGGTATGTATGTGACTTATGCAAACATTTGAGGTTCCCAGGTCATGACCTTGGGGTCAAATTAGGTCAACGACACAAACTCCATTGGTATCTAAAGTGCCCCAAAAACCTAGATACCTATTCTGGCCGAAAGGTCACTGATGCTCTTCCGCAGGTCATGATGGCCAAAATCATACAAGACTGCCTTGAGTTTTGCATTTGAACAAGCATCAAAGATGATGCTGAACAGTATGTGCCGAAAAACGAAATGCTGACCTGGATCATTTTGGGTAAGTGGCTTATACCGATCCTTAATATGTCCATGGAAGATGCATAATGCGGTTACTGTAATCAATAAATGGGAAATGAGCATCAGAAACTACCCTTTACGGCAAGCCCTAAAGTAATACAACAGGTTGGCTTTGGCCTTGGTCTAACATTCATACCTGACCTTAGGTCAATACAATCTGTCCATTCAATTGTTGTGCTGTCTAATAGACCACCTCAGAGATGAATTTATTGGTCTAACAAACACTCCGCCGTTGCATCAGACTGAACGATTCCCTAGAAATTATCTCAACTGAATCCATGGCCTGAGTTTGACCAACCGTAGGTCAACAACCTTGCTAGTCGCACCTAAATTTTGGATACCAAGCGATCTGCCCTTTGTCTACAGCCACGCGAATCTAACGCGGCTTGGCCGCGCCTCTTGAAAGCTATCCCCGAAAAACCTTCAGGACCTTCGAGCCACCCGAGCGCGCGTCAAGATCCTGCAATGTGAACGGTCTCCCCTGACGACGAATGAGCCCGATGTCAGCTGACCTTGTGCATTGGGTGCTCACCTGCTGTGTGGTGTCCTCCTGAGCGGCCCCGGCGTCTGGCTCGGACAGGATGAACATCTGGCCCTGCAGACTTTTGTCGTCATCGCTCGGCTGCTCCGGTACCCATTCGGTGATGTTGATGGCCAGCAGCTCGCCGCGCGAGTTGTTCCTCGCCGCGAGGAAAGCCAGCGTGCTCGCCGTCTGCCCGATAGAGGCGAACATTACAGCACGCTTCGGATGTCAGACGGATTCTCTGAGCGCTGATGTAGCTCTCCGGCCGGTTACACAATGATGGTGCGCCACAGACAACAGGCTCGACAGCGTCCTTGGCGTGCTCGCCGCCACCACAGGCTCCTGCCAGCCGCCAGCTCACCACACGTTATAGGCACCTGTGTTCTGCTGGCGACAAATACCCACGAAATCGGAAAGGGTACCGGTTAGCGCCGACACGGTTCGTTAATTTTCAGGGAACGCTCCGTTCCTCAGACGCTGCTGACGGCCCCGTGTTACGGGCCTGCGTACCAGATCAGCCTCGTTGCTGGCGTTGGCGCTCAGCCCGAACTCCCACTCGCTCATGGTCATGTCCATCGCCACGGCCGCGAACGCGTCGTTCCAGTGGCAGACGACCTTCTCGGCGTCCGTCTGTTTATCGGTTGGGATTTTGGTGCAGCTGTTCACGGCGGTGGGCAGGCCACTGATCGCCTGCAGCGCCGGACTGGCGCGGTTGTCCTGCGGGCTGGCCGGGTCGTCTGCGGGCCAGCATTGGCACCGAGTAAAAACCGCAAACGCGGTGCGGGCGGCCTCAGCACGTCAGATACGGACAACTGTAGGCTTAGGCGGCACAGGCAGACCTGTGGCTTAACTGACGCTCCTGAGTAGGCCACTGATGCCTTCCTGCGGGCCGTCGGGCGCACCTGTTTAGGTCACTCGTTCCGCTACGTCCCCAAGAGAGTTACTAACACCTGCAGCCACGCACTGCGATATCAGCACCAGCAGAGAGCCCCCGAATCAACGCTGTACAACACAATGCACCAAAGGAAACCACTGTCGGTGTGCCTCGGTGACCACGCAAGGATGATACGAACAAGTCTTCTTTGGCCCGGCACGTCAAGCTGGGGATCACCTAGAACATTTGTGTTGTATGTCCGGTATGCTATGCTTCCCAAATGAGACCATAAATGTCACTGACGACTCGACAGTCGGCCACTCTCACCCACACAGTGGCAGGCGTGGCTTGGCGACGAGGCAGCGAGCCCCGCCCCTGCCTCAGCCCAGCCCGGAGCAGCGCCTCACCCTCGAGCTCCATGGTGGGGAGCAGCGGTGAAGAGCGGGCCGCGCTGTCGGCCATCAGCTGGTGCAGCGGCTGGAAGAAGCTGAGCAGGCCGGCGGCCGTCGGTGCCGGGCTGCCGGTGGTTCTCGCTCAGCATGGCGTTCCAGGGCAGGCTGCTGCCGTCCGCCATCACACCACTGCGGAGCGACCGGCGGGGGTGTGACGCCAGGCCGCGCGGGATGCCGCCTCGGCTGCAGTGCAACAACCACGGCCGCGCGCAGTGGCTGCGGTCTGACGTTAATCGGCTTTGATTGAAAGCAGGATACCTTGCGAGTATGAGAATTGTGAGCTGGGAGCACAGTCGTGCAGAATAAAGAAAATATTCCAGGAACCCCATGGAAGTAAGTGACTTTACAACACCCCTCTCCGGGGACGTTCCTACACCGCCACTCTGGGGATCTTCCTTCAAGACCATCCTGCATGTGACACCCTTCCACCACTATTCTGAAGGGACCTCAACACTCCCCTGCATGTGACACCCTTCCACCACCACGCTGAAGGGACCTCAACACTCCCCTGCATGTAACACCCTTCCACCACCGCTCTGAAGGGACCTTAACACTCACCTGCATGTGACACCCTTCCACCACCACTCTGAAGGGACCTCAACACTCCTCTGCATGTGACACCCTTCCACCACCACTCTGAATGGACCTCAACACTACCCTGCATGTGACCCCCCCCTAACCCACTCCTCCCCACCCCGCTGTGGGACTTCCCTCCATGACCGCCCGGCGGGGGCCTCCCCAAACAGCAGTCCCTGTGCGGACAACGCTGTGACCCCGGCGGGACCCCGACTGACCGCAGCAGGCCGCCGACCGCCTCGCTGGCATGCGGCAGGCACTCGTTGGTTGGGCAGGCGGCCGCGCGCAGCTGGAAGCCGGAGAACGCGGCCAGCAGGCGGCCGATGTGGGCGCCAGCGTCGTAGAAGCGGCCGTCGACGTCGGCCGGCGCGACCGCGACGTCCACGCCGAGCGCGGCGCGCAGGTGGGCACGCCAGGCGGCATCCGAGCCGGCCGTCGGCGACGCCAGCGCCCCCTCCAGCCAGCGCAGCGACGCCATGTGGTAACCGATCGGCAGCAGCTGCCCCAAGGACGAGGTCAGCCGGCGCGCACAGCATGGCAAACGTGCGGACTGGAAGATAACTATGGTCTTATATAAAAAGGTCTTTTGATTGATATTTCCATGGTAACAAAATTGCCACAAATTCAGCCTAACCACTTGCCAGTAGCCCCTGTGCAAGCGTCTCAGAAGGGTTCGGCCGCGTTACGACCACAGCGCCGCCGGTACCTGTGTGATGGCGGCCTCCATCAGGGCGTTGGCCGCCTGCTGGCAGCCGATGTCGCCTTGGCAGACGGGGTCAGCCTGGCCGGAGGGCCGCGCGCCGCGCGCCAGGTACAGGCTGACCGGCTGCAGGGACGCCAAGCCGCTGCCGTACCCGTAGACCAGTTGCTGCACCACGGACGGCTGCAGCGACAGCAGCTCCACACAGCTCGACAGGGCCCGCTCGAACCCTGCAGCCGTGGGCACCGGCTCAGTGTCCGCTGCAGCCACAGCGGGCAGCGCACAACGGATCTGCCCCAATGCCGCCAGAGACACAGACCCCAGAAGAAGATCTAAGACCCTAAGAGACCCTGTACTGATAACGCTCAGGGTAACTGCACTTCGTTTAGAAGCGAATCTTAAAATATTGCTTTCCTGAGAGGATCCTGACAAAAGTGTGAAAAATGAGCGGACATTGTATGATCATTCGAGAAAATTACGACACCCATTTTATGCATGATGTGCATACAAGTACAAATCTTCCAGAACCCTGCATAATGGATCTGCTTAAATTCTGCGAGTCCCCACACTCGACTCCAGACCCGCAGCAGTGGGGATTGGCCTCAGCTTGGAAGCCACATCAGCGTAAGAACTCAACACCAATAGGAATACTTAATTCCCAAGACATCTTGCGGCACCTCATGTATCAAAATCCGGCTAAGAAAGCTGTTTTCGCTCCTGCCACTTGTGACCACTGGGCCCTGACTGCTGTGGGGCGGGGCGGGGGGGGGGGGGGGGAGGCCGCCAGTCCCTCGCTGGGCCGGCCACCGGAGCACCCACCTGGGAAGGCGGGCGTCCGGAAGGGCGGCGGCTGCACAGCCACGGCGCGCCGGTACTCGGACTCGGTCATCAACGCCAGGGCGGCGCGCAGGCCGGCCACGTCACTGCCGGCGCACAGGCGGACCCTGGCGGCAGGCGGCGCCCGTCACGGCACGCGGCGGCGCGCGGCGGCGCAGAAACAGCGACGGGAACCGCGCCAGGCGGCCGCTGGCTGCGGGACTCAGCCAGGGCTCAGAAATCGCCCGCTCAGGGGGAGCACGCTGATGATGGAGCGGTGCGGGCAAATCGAAGTTCGCTGCCGCAAACACGATATCTCACACTGCGTTGCATCGCAAGGTTCTATCTATCGAGAACAGAGCCTCATATCTGTGCGATGTGGCGCGGGACTTAAAGCCGAGTGATACACCAGCATAAGCCGCACATGACACATCAGACCAAGGTCAGGTCGTAATAAATAGCGATTGGAACGTTGTGCAGAGGAGAATATGGCTCTCAGTCTAAAGTCAGACGATATTACCAGGCCAGTGGGGAAGATAAGCGTGGTCGATAGTCAGCAGACATCAATAAGTCTCTTAACAAGAACAAGGAAGTTCGCAGCTCCATGCATTCGATCGGAAGTCAGCAGCAGTCATGATGGCATGAAAGCATTCACCATCCGAACGCGTTATGTGCAGCCCAATCCAACCATCTTTAGGTAACACGTTCATGGCAGGGCTGAAAGCGTTTCCCGGTGGCATGAGTCAATCACGCCGAAAACCATCAGCTGATCGGTACTGGTGTTGCGGGATGCGCCGAACACGTAGGCCTCTCAGCGCACATCTGCCCGTCACACCCCTGGCGCCGTGGCCCAGCCCGGCCGCCGACCCCTGACGCTCACTTCTCGGTGTCGACGTAGCTGGCGCATTCGCCGGCGGCGCCGAACTCGGACTTCTGCCACAGGTCGACCGGCGCGGCCGGCAGCTCCAGCAGCCGCATGAACTCGTTCGCCAGGCGGGCCAGTGACTCGGAGCTCATGCGCTGGAGGCGGGTCACGTGTCACCGTGACGTCACACAATATCTGCCATATTTGATCAGAGGCACTGCGGTGCAACTACCATGGTTATCCGGGAGCAGTCACGTGAGTTCAGGCGGGAGGAGAGAGCTGACACTTCGGACGCGGGGCGAGGGTAGTAGGCGCAGTCAGACTTGACAAGCCGTGCTCGGTATGATGACCTTACCTACGCGCGCAGTCGCGCTCGCTGCGCATCCCCACGCCGGCAGTGAAGACCATGCATCCCCTGTCTTTGAAGCACTAGGGCACATGTCCTGCCCCTTCGCACAGCGCAGAAAGTTCTCCTGTTCTGTCGCACGACATGCCTACTCTGCCTCTTCACGCAACACGGACGGCTGAGCCGGCCGTCCTTGCGAGACTTCCGGATGTCGAATACCCCGCCGGTGCGGCCCGGCTCGGCCCTCCGAGACACGCGGGTGTCGGATACCCCGCCGGTGCGGCCCGGTTCGGCCCTCCGAGACACGCGGGTGTCGGATACCCCGCCGGTGCGGCCCGGCTCGGCCCTCCGAGACACGCGGGTGTCGGATACCCCGCCGGTGCGGCCCGGCTCGGCCCTCCTAGACACGCGGATGTCGAATACCCCGCCGGTGCGGCCCGGCTCGGCCCTCCGAGACTCCCGGATGTCGGGCACCCCGCCGATGCGGCCCGGTTCGGCCCTCCTAGACACGCGGGTGTCGGATACCCCGCCGGTGCGGCCCGGCTCGGCCCTCCGAGACACGCGGGTGCCGGATACCCCGCCGGTGCGGCCCGGCTCGGCCCTCCGAGACTCCCGGGTGTCGGATACTCCGCCGGTGCGGCCCGGCTCGGCCCTCCGAGACTCCCGGATGTCGGATACCCCGCCGGTGCGACCCTGCTCGGCCCTCCGAGACACGCGGATGTCGGATACCCCGCCGGTGCGGCCCGGCTCGGCCCTCCGAGACTCCCGGATGTCGGATACCCCGCCGATGCGGCCCGGTTCGGCCCTCCTAGACACGCGGGTGTCGGTTACCCCGCCCGTGCGGCCCGGCTCGGCCCTCCGAGACACGCGGGTGTCGGATACCCCGCCGGTGCGACCCTGCTCGCAGCGCGCCGGGTCGCCGACCGACCCACCTTCTCCCTCAGCAGGTCGGCGAGGGCGCCCGAGATGTCCGGGTAGGGCAGGGCGCGCTGCACCAGCGACGAACAGTTGTCCTGGGCGGCACACTCTGGCGGGACGAGGGGACGCGATCAGTGGGGCGGCGCCGGGGGACGCCACCGACGCGTCGGGGCACGCAGGCTTGCCCGGATGAAGGCTGGTCGCAGGCTTGCCCGTACGAAGGCAGGCCGGGGCGTGCCATTGGCGATTGACGTATGACGTCATCGAATTAACCTTACCGAAGCCGCGAGATCCATTAAAAAGTGTTCCAACATCATGCATTTAGTCATGGCGTACCACGGTGATATCGCGTTTCCCAGATACTTGGACTGGAGGCGGGAAGCCGTTGACGCCGTTGCCAAGCAGTGTGTGACAAGGCAACATCGGTTCTCGCATGGGGACATCGAACACCAGTCAACAGAGCGCCGATGTCTTACCGAGGACCAGGCTACCCAGACTACGGTCGCCGCCGGCAGCGGCCGACCGTGACTTCAGGTGGGCGACCAGCTCGCTGAGCAGCGGCTGGGCCGCGGACCACATGGCGTCCAGCTGGGACCGCGGGTCGCCCGAGGGCGTGACGAACGGCGACCACCACAGCTGCTGCGTCGACCCCAGGTCTGGGGGAGGGGGGGCGGTGATCAAAGCCCGACGGGCAGGACCGCTGAAGCCGCTCATAAAGCGGGGCCGTCGGTTTTCGCCGACTGAGTTAACACAAAGCAGCGGCCAGTGCCCGAAGATGGTGAACACAGCAGAGCGGTTAGTGCCTGCTGACAGCGAACACAGCAGAGCGGCCAGCACCTGCTGACAGCGAACACAGCAGAGCGGCCAGCACCTGCTGACAGCGAACACAGCAGAGCGGCCAGTGCCTGCTGACAATGAACACAGCAGAGCGGCCAGCGCCTGCTGACAGTGAACACAGCAGAGCGGCCAGCGCCTGCTGACAATGAACACAGCAGAGCGGCTAGTGCCTGCTGACAGCGAACACAGCAGAGCGGCCAGCGCCTGCTGACAGAGCTAGTAAGGCAGGACGGTAAGTTTCCGTTACTAGTTGATACTGTAGAGTCCAAGAATCAACGGGAATGATGGTACTTTGTAGACACCAAGACTAGTACCGGTGTAACATATACCAGAGATCACTCCGGGGTAAACAAAAAGGCGAATTCTCAGTGTCCATATTGTCGTCAGTGACAGCCGTTGATGGAAGTGTTCTCAGTTTTCATTGATATAGAACACCAGCATCTACCGAACCGCCATAATCACCACTACTCTCGGGAGTGAACAGCGATTGCCTCAAATACAGTAACGACGGGGATCGTGTCAAAACCTAGACAGCTACACTGAAAAATTCCGTCCCAATGATATCGCCAGCTGTAATCTCAAACAGCATTCGAGATTGACATTAGATGTACAGTTACCGGGAACCTCTTGGTTGCATCATACAAAAATATACCCACTTGCGACAAAACAGCTAATAAAACAGCCACCTGCAACACACCTTCGGAGCAAAACAGACGCCATCAAGCAAGCAAAACCCAGCGCCGGGGTTTTTACACGGAACTCAAGACATCATCAGCCTTGCCACGGGCCTAACCGTGACAGTCTTCCCAATGTTTCGCCTGAAGGCATTTCTATCTTTTGGCACGACTTTTCCGACGTTTGGGTGGCTCCGGCTCGTGAGATACGAAGAACAAACACCATCAAGATAAAACGCTCGTTTCTAGTTGAGAGTTGCCGTGTTATCAGGCTGGCACCCTAGCGCTCCCGCTTATCGGAGTGCCACGGGTCCGACGAGCATCAAATGAAGGCCACCGAAACCCGATGTTAGGGACCGAAGGTGTTCGGCCGCGTGGCAGGTACAGCCTGGGACTGGGAGATGGTGCGTTGGCTCTGAGAACTCTGGTCACTCGAGACTGTTCACGCCTGTGACAGTTGTTTGAAGTGGTTCACTTGCGGCCGTTAAGCCGTTCTCAGTCATTTGGAGAATAGTGTAAAATTTTCTCACACGCCTTTTGCGCTGTTTTTTTGTTGTTGTGTTGATATGACACACGCTCTTGTCGTATGCTGCATCACGCATGCGGTGAGCAAGCTAAAACGGCCCGCCTTTGACATGGAGTATATCGGCCATTGTCATTGCGTTGTGGAATGACATTGACGTCCAGCAACCGGTGTCAAGACATGACGTCCGCAGCGCCGCGGTTTGGTAAATTGACACCACATACACCGTTACTGGATGCTTGCACCCACAGAACCTCCGGACTCAGACTCAGTGATTTTTTACGACTGAGGAGTGTGATATAAGGGAACGAAAGCAAAGTTCAGTATTAATGGTCATGTAATGATGATCCTATCATATCTGATGAAAGAGCACCATGAGCCACTAGCAGTGCACGAGGGGGACTATCGCTGCGCCTGCTATCTGTGGCAAGCCAACGCGATAGGTTATCTACCGGCGCAGCACTGGCCGACCCCGCTGATAGAGACCGCGGCCCGACGCTCGTCCTGCCACACCTGAGGCGACCCAGGGAACCGACCCGTGGTTAAAAAACCGTCCTCTGGCCGCCTGAAGGAAACGTGTGGGGTGGAGGGCGGAACAGGATCACGTCGGGGTAGGATGGAGATCCTCAAGCAAGGGCTCAGACCACGAACGAGGGATCAGACCCATGCCAGGGCACAACACCATGGAGGGAATAGACCTACGTTGAAAGACAGACTCGTGAACGGGAACATATCCATGTTTGGGGGCAAGCCCACGGACGGGGCAGCGATGTTGGGCGACGGACCAACGAGGGGTGACAAACTGGAAGACAGTGCACGCGAATGATTGGCGGTCCCGGGACAAACCCACAAGCTGTGGAAATCAGCGCTACGAACATGAGGCGGACCGTGGTGGGAGACAGTATTAAGGCAGGGGAGTAAAACCATGCCCAAGACAGCTGGACCATGATCAAGCCAGCTGGACCATGCCGGGCACGAGTCTCAACCGCGGACTTAACGCTGCTGCGCTAATTCACGCAAGGAGAGCGGGCGACCAGCTGCCGTATTTGCACACCAGTCCCGAGTTGTTGAGCGGGTCAAAGTGAAATTTCGGTCATATGAATCTTGCATCTGTTTAATCTAACGGCACTATTCAGCGGGCTATCAGGTAATGTCGCCCAGCCACGATCTCGCCCCCAGTGTCTGGACAGTGCCTGGCGAGGGCGAGAGACAGTGTCTCCTTGCGACGCGTTCTCGACATGCCACAATGGTCTTCTCGGCTGGCCACTCCACAGATGTGACGGGGAATAACTGGAAACGTGGTTGATTTCGGAAACTGTTGTATTGGCCATTCGGGCGACCACACCTCTCAAATCGTGCATTTTCCGCCAAAGTATCTTACGGTATCATAACGTGATAACATGGGGTAAGCTGTAACACATGCCGTTTTTCTTAATGCTACGAAACACGAATGCACCAAATGATATCTAGATCAGTGCAAGGCAAAATAAGTCCCGAAAGCATCATCTACATTGCTTTAGCACGTACATTTGGAAGCATGTATTTGGCAACCCCGACACCAATGTTGGCAATAAGACTGCCATCAACGTATGGTCGTTAGCTTCTGTGGGCCAATCTAAACGGGCGAAACTTGGAACGCATAACGGCGCTTGAACCAAAGTTTGCAGTGCATCAAATCAAAACGGTCACAGCGTGTCATACAATGTGCTTTGTCACTGACAGCGCCCCCAACCTATTACGAGAGGGGTGGGGAGGGAGTAAGCATGTCTAGAAGCCTCCTAAACGCACCTGGGGGCTTCCTACGTACAACAGTGTGGGATATTTTACTCTCGGTTTTCGTCGACTTTTCAGGACAACTTACTTAACTGTAAATGATTGGCTAAAATCCCAGCCCATTAACGGTTCATTCTGAATCACTGCTACGCCCGGAACAGTCTGGTGCAAGCTGCATGACCATTATCCGAGGCAAACTGAGCTAACTAAATAACCTCCACACCACTGCTGGCACAACTCAGCCACTTTGGCCCACGATGTGACGGATTTGAACGCTGATAGGGCGCACTTTGATGAACGCTGATAGGACGCACAGGTCTAAGGTCAGTGGTCTGATGCGGTAGGAAGTTGGAGTCCGTCGTGCGCGCTAGGTGTAAAACGATTTGGAAGTGAGCGGGAAATTGGCTAAATTGCATGGTGGGCCGTCTAGTCCCTCACATATATTTTTTCGTGCTGATCGGGCGCCGAGTCGGCTGGAGGTTAAACAATAGTCAGTGAAAACTAAACATTACAGATCAGTTTAATGGCGCCGGTTCGCTTCAGGAGCAGTCTCTCAGAGCGATCGGGGAGGGGTCTGGTCGGATCATCGAGGTCAAGCGATCGCCGACTGACAACGCGCTTACGCAACAGCGCTGCCACAAGCGGACAACCATAGCAAGTTTTGTCAGAACATAGCTATTTTGCTAGCAGAACATAACTATGACCCCAAACAAGGCTCAGAGCCACAGCCATAAACATGACAGTGAGTGAATTAAAATGATAGAAATAGACGTCTGCATAGAAGTTCGGTGACTACCACAATTTCTACACGAGTACCAACCAATATCAGTACATTTCGTGGTAACCCGTTGCATGAACGCATTATTTACTACAAAGGCCCATCGAATGGTACCTTAAGACGACTTTATTTGGGAACAAACGCCACATGGCCGCATCTAGCTGCACGCCTGGTGCGTTTTAGCCTGTCCCCATGCGGTCGGTCCTATCGCAAGGTGTGCCACACGGGCCATGATAAGACAGACAAACACTGCCTGAGCGCACCAGCCTGATACAAAATCTCGACCCAAGTCGAAGGCCGGAGAGACTGGGCCATGTCCTCCATGAGCAAACCGGCAGAACGTGCATTAAACGTGAGCGTCGTGAATTCAGGGGATTCAACATGAACCAAGGAGACATGGCTCTTTAAGCCAGCGATTTGTAAAGTTCGAATGGCCGCGAACTAAAATGAGAACTCCGTATAGAAAGATCAAACGCATGGTTGTGTTTTACCATTGACTGCGATGCTACCAAACACTATTGCCCGCGCGGCGCGTCGCCGCGACGGTTAAAATGGGGAACGTGCTGCAACCAAGGATGACATGCAAAACCGCAGCACCGGACGAGAGCTTAAACAAAGCGCACGACGGATTAAGGTCTTAATACGATATACAATGTTCTCCACGCATGGGGTTGCTGCTCGGTTCATTTTTCGTTTTCGGTCTTATGTGTGTCATTGGGGCTTTACGTTGCACTCAGCTGCTGAGGATATAAGGCGTCGCCTGCCTGTCACCCTGGCAGAAAGGGCGGGCACCGCGGGGAATCGAACCCCGCACCTCTGGTTTCCCAGACGCGCAGTGGTTAACGCAGACGCGTTAACCACTACACCCCCATTACCGGCACCCCAGCCCGTTTTCTGTCTTAATCTCAAAGATTTCGCACACCCTTTTGCAGAACGGCATGTCCTCTAGACGCGTGCCAGTAAGAGCGGGACACCGCAGATCACAAACGTCAGAGCTCGCGGGACACGTGGCGCAGTTCAGACACGTTCGGAGTGATGAACACGCGGTACACAGATGGCAGCTCAGACACTTGCGGAGTGATGAACACGCGGTACACAGAGGGCAGTTCGGACACGTTCGGGGTAATGAACACGCGGGACACAGAGGGCAGTTCGGACACGTTCGGAGTAATGAACACGCGGTACACAGATGGCAGTTCGGACACGTTCGGAGTAATGAACACGCGGGACACAGAGGGCAGTTCGGACACGTTCGGAGTAATGAACACGCGGGACACAGAGGGCAGTTCGGACACGTTCGTAATGAACACGCGGGAACACAAGAGGGCAGTTTCGGACACGTTCGGAGTAATAACACGCGGTATACAGAGGGCAGTTCGGAGACACGTTCGGAGTAATGAACCAGCGCGCCGGGACACAGAGGGCAGTTCGGACACGTTCGGGGTAATGAACACGCGGGACACAGAGGGCAGTTCGGACACTTACGGAGAGACGCCGCCAGGGGCTCCAGGCGCGATATGTAGTTCTGGAAGGCGGCATGGACGTCATCGTTGCCGATGGCTGCTCCTGAGGCCGAGCAAGCGGGTTAAACGCGGGCAGTGCGTCAATGCTTAAACTCTGCTCTAGAAAAATGCTTATGATGAGATACAGGGTGCGTACATCTACTCGCAAATCGGTGACCAGCAGCTTGGTCAAAGACTTGCGTGCACATATTGGCAAAAATGACTTAGAGACGTCAGGAGACGCAAGAGTTGTGGTCCACCCGTAGAATGTGCAAATCAAATCTAAGTTCAAAATATGCCCATCAAAACTGGGTTATGCAAAAACCTCACTTGAATCAAGATGAGGCGAGGTAACATTTATCAGGATGGCAAAAACAGCTCATAGCAAACCGTCATCGAAAAATGGAAACACACGGACGCATGGCTCTGCGTGACACAGCAGCAATACAGTTCGACGTCGTGGCAATCAACGCCCCGGCTCCGAGTGGCGGACGCTCGCCAGCTAGCGTTAAACACTGTGTAAGATGGCAATCACGGCGCGGGCAGGCAGGTCACCAATGCGCGAGGGCGGCGGCCACCAGCGGCTCGCGACAGTGGGAAACAAGGCTCACCCTCACGCCGTTTCTTGAGCAGTTTCTCGAGCTCAACCTTGCCCAGGTTCACCTGAAAAGTGCGCGCATCGTGAGCAGGACTGACGGGCCTGTGCAATGTGCCTCAGTCACACTCTGTCACATCATGCTGTCTTTTTAGGCGAATGGGTAAATCCCACGCGCAGGAGGCTTGATCTGTGTGACATGAATTCACATGTGGCATGTCACATGTCACCCGCACCACCAAATGACGCACTATCTATGCATGGGTCAGTGTCCCTGGGCTACATGTAAAATATCGCTTCCCTCGGTCATCAACAAGGCAGGTCCTTCATCGGGCCCTTCCAAGCTCAATCCCCCAGCGAGGTGCCCGTCCTCGCCTCTCCACAAAAATTTCGCTGGTCTCCGACCCCGACCGCATCATCGCGGTTTCACCGATAAAACGAAGGTTTCACTGGTGTGCTTGCTATGACATTAGCACAGCGTTTGACGTGATTGGTTACAGCTTGCAACTCTATAAATTGAAACTGCACGGCATTGGAGTCCCTGGTCGCCGCCCTATCTCCTGTGGCCCACTCGGAGTGTGTTAGTGTGCGATGGGTCGGGGCGCGGCGCGACCTCGCTGCCGCCTCCCGACAGCAAGGGTGTCGGCCACGATAGCGCAGGTGTCGGTCAGTGCTCGGCTCCTAGAGCAGTGCTCTTCAGCTTCCCCAACAAGCTGGCATTAATCGCAGCTGGTGCAAACAGCTGACGCGTGCCTCCTAACGTAATCCTTGGCGCTTATTGAGTTAACAGTTAAGACAATGTCTTGTGTTTTTGGTCACCGCAACCTTCTAGCGGTCAAATGAGGTCACTGACCGGAAATGGACACCAGTGATCTTTTGCTTCGACGGAGTATCTAGATTAAAGGTGTTTACATGAAAGAGCTTTAAAATGATAAGATTGTAAGGCAAAATAAACGAGAGAGAGAGAGAGAAAGAGAGAGAGAGAGAAAGAGGGAGAGAGAG